GCTATGAGTCGCAAACGACTCGATGGCACATAACAACAAACGATCGTGATAGGAGTGAAGCGCTGAGAGCTGCACGCTGTATTTCTAGGCACTGAGTACACGTGACGTCCTAACAGTGTCTGCCCATTTCTGCCTGGGTTTCCGGTTTCACTTCCCCTCCTTTCCTCTCTAGTCCTCTCTCTGGGTTTTCTCATGGGGCACTCACTGCCCCTCGGTTTGATGTCATTAATAGTGTGAGGAGCTCATGTTTGGATGAAAGTATGCAGCAGTGGCAACCGGTGGTTTAAATCTGCCAACTTCTCTTTGGGAATGAATAAGGCAGTCAGCTCCCCTTAAGAGCCCAGAGACCCTTGGGGAGTTGTCCTCTGCCGTTCAGGGTCCTGGGAGTCAGAAGGGGCTCCACATCATTGGATAGGACTTGGGGTTTTCCATCCTGTGAAAGAGCTGCCATTTCAACAATCCCTAGTAAACCAGTGACCCCAGCTCCGAACGTCAAGGTCTGTGACCCCTTGTGGTCCTTTCCCGCACTCTTCCACCCCCATTTCATCAAACCTAATACCCAGGACTATCAGAGTCAAGGTGATCAAACATCTGCAAGTCTTTAAAAAGCACAATGTTCAAAGCAGAAACAATTCACTAATTACAAGAAGCTACCTTTTTTTCCCAGCTTCCAAAATAGTTTATTAAGAGAAAAATAAAAATAGGGGAGCTCTGGTGGCCTAGTGGCAAGACGCTGCACTGCAATCCCAGAGGAACACGGTTCGAATCCACCAGACGCTCTGCCGGAGAAGGAGGCGCAATATCCTCCTGTACCAGTCAGATCTGATTTGACGGTACACGCACACAAAATAATAAAAAAAAAAAAGAGAGAAAAACAAAATTGGAAAAAATTGAAATAGGGCAAATATCTACAGTTGTCGTTGTTAAGTGCTGTTGAGTCACAAACAACTCATAGTGACCTTATAGACAAAAGTCCTGAACACGTGCGTAACTTTCATCTATTCTCTAAGCTCATAGGGTTTCCGGAGGCAAGCTCTGTGGACGCCACTCCTGCTTCCAAGCTTGTTTTAATTGGGGAGCTCCACCAAACACTGCCCACCATGGGGAACCATTACCACATTGGAAGTTATCTACAGAGTTACTGCAAAAGATTCTTTCCTTACAGAGTTGCTAAAGCGCTTCCTGAAAGGTTCCAAAAAGACTAGAAGAAACTTCCCAATTATCTTTATGCATAAAATGTTCAAATCTTGCCAATCAAGCCTCAAAATGAACCTTCTACATCACCCCGTGAAGTTTGTTTCCTCTGCTCACTGTGTCACAAGGCTTCCAACCCTGAATCCAAGCCGTTTGCTGACGGCACAGCCGACTTTCTGCACTCTTTCGACTTCTCTGGTTCACAGAGATTACTCTCTGAGCATTTAACAGCTATAAGCTACATTTCAGTGAAAGAAGCCTCAGGGGATCGCTGGGCTTCACAGATTATCTCAGAACAACAGTTAGGAGGGCTCAGAGTGTAGATACCACCGAAGACTTAGAATGCTCCGTTTGATCAGGATTTGGAGTCACACCTGGAGTCTGAACTGCTGGGGCCATGACACTGTGTCCCCTGAGCTGGCCACTCCACTGCTGTGACAGCGACCTCAAACGGGCGTCCACTGGGCTCACTCATCTAAGACTCGGCCAACCATCCCAGCTTGCTTGTAGCCGTCACCTCGGAACCAGCTCACAGCTGACCCTCCCGGGGGGCTGAGGCTGCAAACTGCACGGGAGACCACTCACCTTCCTCTCAAATAGCTGCTGGCGGATTTGAACCAGCAGAGGCATGAGCTCTGGGCCAGCAGTGCAGCTTGCTGCTGGCTACACCCCAGAACCCTTTTTAATGACGAGGAAAGTCAGTTCACCAATTCACACTCAAAGCCAAGGTTCCCTGAGGCACGCACGCCCTCCTTCATGCGATGGTCAGCAGAGCCAGCTCACAGCTACTGTGCAATCCAGCCCCGAGTCTCCAGACCTTAGTGACGGGGTGAGGTGGGGGGCGCAAGGCCCAGCAAATGCAGGTGTCCAGTTCAGCATCAAAGCCACGGGCAGTGGACGTTTTGTGGCCACGTACGTTCAGAGCTGGTTCCTAGGGGAGAGGCACAAAGGCTCTGCAACGATGGCACCACTGGTCCCTGGGCACAACCTCAAGCTGAGCCCTCAGGCCTATCACGTTCAGACATGAAGCCACGGTCCGCTCCTGGAGCCAAGAATGCACAGAGGCCGCTGGGAGCTTGTTTATGTCTCGTCAACCCTTGAACCCTGCTTCACATCACACAGTCAGGTTCAAGTCCAACCGCTAATCCAGGAAACAGCAGTTTACGTTTGTGTCTAGGACGCAAGACGCAGCTACCAAGACTTGGAGAACACGTGTCCCTGACACATCACGTGACTCGTCCTCCAATACGGAGCAGAGCCTGGTGAGATGACTCACGGACAGGGACACACAGCTATGGGTCACGGGCCTGCAGGTGAGGTGAGGGATGCCACGTAGCAAAGGGCGGATGAAAACCCAACCGCCTCGTGAACGTCCGCTCAAATCACAATGAAACAGTAACGGGGGAAAGGAATGTGAGGGTCCCTGAAAATATCTTAAAACCGAACAGTCACCGAGCATAACAGTGGGGAGGCTGTGCTCCGAAAACTGTAATCTCGAGATCCGGCTCTCCAGGACCAAAGTGATGCTCAGCTGGTCTCCTGCCTGGTGTCCAGAGCGACCCTGACCCCTTCAGGCTCTGACAATCCTTCATGCCCCACCAAGACCTTACACATGAAGGCCTGGACAGGCGGCAACCCTCACAGGCCTCCGGCCATCAGTATCGCTCCAACATTTAAAACACAGTGTTCAGTATCTCCCCCAAAGACAGCACCCAAATCCACCCACTGCATTCTTCTCATCTAACAGCAGAACAATCTGTGGAAACAAGTCACGGGCAGGTGTCCAAGGTGAGTATCCTCACGGGGCAGTCACACACCCAGCCAGCGCTGGACTGTCACTTTAAGTGGACATCCCCCAGAAACAACGGCTGAAGGCAACACTAGAGTTTGGAATCTGTCACATCTGCAAAGCTGACAATTCTGTCCAGAGGAAAAGTATGAAGGGTACTCAGGGTTGTCATGGTCCTGCTGGCGTGGATCTGCCAGCCGACAGTTGGCCCAAGTCTCCCGCCTCTGCCACACTGCCCCCCTCCACCAGGACAGCACCAGTGAGGCCCCTGGACGTCCATTCTCAACGGTGCAGGCAGCACAGCACTGCGGCCGCGGCTGTTCTTCGCAGTAGGCGCCAAACACCAGCACCTGATTAGTCTGTTATTAATTACCATCTGCCGTCAGAACGGATGGGGACAAGAGCTTGTCCAAGTATCGAAACCGTCCTCAAATGCAGAAGAAACACAAAGAACTCTCCTGTCCTATCAGGAAGCTGCTGTCAGCAGGCACGGCTGATGGACCTGTAGCCGTGGCGGTCAAACGGCAGCTGAGAACCGAACCTCAGAAATACCACCCTGGGGCTCTAACTCACCCCCCAAGTTTCCACTACAACAGCAGAAACACGCACACTTTGCCGAGTCCATGGAGACAGAGGCGCACAGCGGGGAATCTTCACAGATGCTTACTGCTCACCCTTCTCCAACCGTCTGGAGATCCACCAGCCAACCTTTCATTTCACAAGCTGAACGTGGAACCACTGTGCTGTTCAAATCATCAGAGAAATCAAAACATGCTCCGAACTATACTGAACATTCTAAAAACAGTGACCTCTCCTAACCAAGTCACCACAGGACTAAAGTCTCTGAACGTCCTGTACTGTAGACCCCCGTGGATGTCCAGGGGTGCTGGGGCCTCAAAGACCACCACACCTTACTGTGCTGCACACCTGTCTCCAGGTAATCTGGCTAAACCTCTAGTTAGGGAATCAACTACACTTTTTCTTTGGATAAAGTGCACGGGGCTCACTTCCCTGACATAGAAATCCATCAGAATCACGTTGGTTCCTGAGTAACAAACACCCCAAAGTTCCGAAACTGAGTATCATCCAACTCAACCTAGATGAAAAACCACCCAGGTGGTAACAAAACTTTGAAATTTAGATAAAACCTAGGGAAATTACAAATGTCAAGCTTGTTAGCTTCTTTAAGGATATACATGCTTGTTACACAGAAAGCGACCAGTTCCCACCAATCATCTGTGAGCTGCCTGAACCAAGCCGCTGTACACCCACCTGAAGCGATCCTCTATCTGCCAGCCAGGTGTAGAGGGTTGGGAGATGAGAGGAAGAGGATGGGAGAAAGGACCCACAGGAGTGTCCACCAGCTCAAGGCTGCTGGACACAGGTACACAGTGTGCATAATTAGCAGTGGCTTGAGAAGGGAGCTGCCTCTGGAAGAGTGTCGGCCCCGCAGCGGTGCATGAGCACAGGCCACCTGGACTTCTGTGGATCACTCAGGAGTGGGATCACCTGGGCAGGTGACCACCCGTATGCAGGGCTCCCTGAATGCAGATTATCTGGATGTGGATCACCCGAGCACCGGGCTGAGTGTGGATTCCTGCACTTAGAACACCTGGGGCCAGGCTACTAGGGCACAAGCACCCTGGCACAGGAAGGGGAGCCTGCACATGGTGACACCTGGCATGGAGATACCCGGACCTGGGGAAGCCTGGGCATTGGCCATGAAAGCACGGTCTATGTGAATACGGAGTACCGAGACTTAGGACTACCTGGTCGCCAAGTTCCAGAGTATAAATCTACCCAGATGTGACCTGGCCGGGCTGTAGAACACCAGGACTGGGGGTGCCTGCATGTAGGATGCACCGACTGCGCTCAGACGCCAGACCCCTGAGGCAGGGGACTTCCTGGGAATGGGGCCACCCAGGAGGGAAACAAGACCACAAATATGTGGGCACAAGACTCCCCAAGTGGGGGTCTACCTTGGGGAAGGGGACACCTAAGCTTGGAGCTACCTCACCTCGTCCAGGCTCCAGCACGCCCTCATCTCCACTATCATCCGCTGCGTCGTCGGCCAGGCCGGAGCCTGGGGAGTCGTCTGCTGCGCTGGCCGAGCCAGGGCTGCTGGGCCCGCTGGCTGAGTCGCTGAGCGAGC